ATCATTAGTATAAAAAACAAATTTAATCCTAGTGATATAGCAATACAAATCCAAAACAGACTTGAAGAAGCAAAAAGAAAGAACAATATCATAATCCTTATATGGATACCTGACACATAGGAATTTATGGCAATGAAAAGGCAGACAAACAAGCTAAACTAGCTTCCCGATCAAATGACGCACAATACATTAACTTTGCTAGAAATCACAACCTCCCTTTGGCAAAACATATGGAACACCCAAACAAACAAATTAAACAAACAGTGAAAAGATGGAAAAGAAACCCAAACATAAGTATCACAAATGAAAAAAAACTAAATCGAGCCAGAATTGGTCACACAAAAATGACACTCGGATACTTGATGGCAAAAGACGACCCACCTATATGCCAAGTATGTGGCACCTCACTATCCATCAAGCACATATTCGAAGAATGTAGAAAATACCAAAAAACCAGAGAAGAATTAAACATAAGCCACGACATTGGAGAAAGTCTAGGTCCAAATCCTGAAAACAAAACAAAAACGATACATTTCTTCAAACAATCTCAAATATTAAAGTTATTATAAGTTAACAACAACAATTTTGACATGYACATAATTATAAGACACAAAATGTCCAAAAATTTACATATCTATTTTGTATATTAAAATTAACAATTTTTTTTTCTTTCTTTCTAATTATATAAATTAATTCAACGCTAATAGCCCATAGTTGACGAAGCGGAAATTCTTTGTAAATTTCAAGACCATTAAAAAAAAAAAATAAAATAAAAATAGTTTTAGTTTAACATTTGTTAAAATTCTCGAAGGGGCAAAAGCTACTTTTAAAAACGCTTTTAATGAACATTTGAAATACATAGTCAATTTTAGAGTTCAATAGTAGGTAATAATAATAATAATATTATATTATAATAATAATAATAACAATAGCCTTACCTGAACTAATTTCATTTATTTCTGATTTCTCGTAGTTAGACCGAACGTTCGTTAGGTTATTCTCTACATCAAGTTTAGGTTTTTTWATTATCCACTTATCCATTGTTAAATGTTAATATACTTAAACCTTTTAATAAAATATACTTAAACTTTTTAATACAAATATACAATAGTTCGTACTTCGTATGCAACTGTAGTTTTGCTTGTCACTATAAGTTTAATATAGTTCAATGGTTGATAAAATAACAATATGTAGGCACTGTCTCGGTAATACATGAAAACGACGTTAACGATTGTCGATTAAAGTGGCTAACACACTGGGTGATTAATCGCACAAAATAAAATACGTTTTACGACGACGATAAAAGATTGTCATCCTATCTTCCACGTCCATATCCACAATATCTTCGTGGAAATACTCATATTCCCGTAGGTACCATTTGATAATGTAAGCTGACAAGCTGTACTATTAATAATATTTGGAATTCAGAATTCAGATAATTTGTTATACCTAAGTACAGTACAAAATTAATATACGGGT